CCCCCCCCCCCCGTGGTTTTTCGACAGCAGCTTTACCGTGCCTAACCGCGCTCCCAGTAGCTGTAGAATCTTACGTAGAGCTTCCCGCTTTCGGCCTTTCTACGAAAAAATCGCCCCTTCGAAGGAAAGCGCCTTTTCTCTCTCTCTCTCTCTCTCTAAATGTTTTGTACTCGAAAGATTGCCGGCAGTTTTACTCGATGTAAAAAAAAAAGAAACGTTTGAATTACAGCCCCTCTTGTAAACTGTGCATTTATTCACTTCGACGTCATAATACAGGAGACCCTCCATCTGTTCTTATTTCTGTTCTTATTTCAAGACCGTCTTGAATAATTTAAGATGAGACATGCTAATAAAAGATTCTGCGACTGGTTTACATCTTCAGATTGTACCTAAGCTTTCAAATATAAGAACGGACCGGCCTGACAGATATAGTTCACAATTCCAGAGCTTCTCCAGCCCACCTCCCATTTCTATGTTTCACCGTTTTCTCTTGTGCTTGTGCGACCTGTCCCTGTGCCTCGTGTCATCCTCGTCCCCCGTGGGCCTCTTCCTCCCGTTGTCGCGATGCCGACGCTCCCGGCTGTCGTCGTGCTCGTCCCTCCTACCTCTCCTCTCGGACCTCTCCTCGCTGTGATCTCTTCTCCGGTCGCCGTTCTCGTCCCGCCTGTTTCTCCTCTCCGATCTCTCCTCGCTGTGACCCCTCCTCCGATCGCCTCCCATCCCGTCTCTATCCCGTCGCTCCTCCCTTCTTCTCCTGTCCCTTCGCTCGCCGTCGTACTTGCTCCTCTCGTGATGATCCTCGTGCGGCCCGTCCTCCTTCCTCCTGTCCCTGGCGTCCCTGTCCTCCCTTCGGAGGCGCTCGTGCTTCCTGTGCTCGGCACTGCCGCGATCCTTGTCGCTCTCCCGTCTCCTTCCCTCCTCTCTGCTGTGTTTACCGCCGTCGTGATCCCGTTCGCCGCGCGACACCTCGGGCTTCCTCGAGTGACCCTCCTCGCGTCTCCTCGTTTGCTTATCGTCCTCGTCGTCGAAGTACCGGATACCCTTCCCCTTGCCGCGCCAACGCATCTTCGCGACCGACTGCGAGAAGTCCACGTGTATCCTGCGGTCGTCGATCAGCACGTTGTCCATCTTGAAATACGCGTCCTCGCAGCTCTTGCGATCGGCGAACTCGATGAACGCGTACTGCAGGGAGTCGCCCGTCTGGTGATCCCTTATAACTTCGCAGCTGCAAAGTCGACGGGAGAATAAGATTTAATGAACACATAACATAAATACCATAATAAATTGAGATACATCGAATAAAATGAGAGAAAATTAATTGACAACGGGGATTATATGATACATAATTACGAAAGCATAACGTGGAATATTGTAAGAATAAATGGTTTACGTACCCAACAATTTTTCCGAAACGACTGAAGATAATCTCGAGATCGTCGTCGTTCGTGACCGGGTTTAACTTGCAGACGAACAAGACGTTTTCCGGCGGGGCGATATCCGCGTCCGGTATGTCACCCACGATCTCCAATATCGTGGCTCGCGCCTTCGCTTCCTTGTTCTTCTGCAATTCCGTAATCTCTTCCGTGGTCATGCCGCCAGTATCGTCGATTGCTTCATCCGCTCCGATTCGGTCGCTCTAAACACGAATAAAAGGACGAAGATAATTTTAAATACGAATCTCTTAAATTTACAATAAGTAAATTAATCAATTAAATAAGGTAAAAAGGCGCGGAAGAAAATACGTTTGTAAACTTATTTACCCAAATAATAGACAGACGGTGAAAATACAGTCTTGACCATAAATATATAAGAGCACCTTCAATTTATTGCGGCAATAAAAGCCAAAGGACCAAATATTAAAATTGTTACAAGAGTAAATATTATTCTTCAATAAAAATTTTTTTAATTTATTCTTCGTTAAAGATAGAACGTGTTTACGTCAATTTTGTGGGGGTGCTTTATACTTATGGCTAAGTCTTTTTCGTGTGAAGCAAGCGTTATCAATGAATCAAAAAGAATCGGACGACGCGAGCTCGATTCATTTTCTAACGATGGCGCACCATTAGAGCCTCCTTTGTAGGTTCCGGGCTTCTGTCGGGCACGACGAATCCCACGGGATCGTCGAACGGATCCTCCAGGATGACAGTGTGGGATATCCTTATGTCCTGATACGGCCGCTGATCCCCGTCGCAGATGGTCTCGTTGAACTTGAGTATCACCTCCAGGCCCTCCGTTATCTCGCCGAACACGCAGTGCTCGCCGTCCAGGGACTGCAGATCCGCGCCCAGGGTGATGAAGAACTGCGAGCCGAGCATGTTGTCGCCGCAGTTCACCATGGACAGCAGGCCCACGCGGCTGTGCCGGATCTTCGGCATCTGCTCGGCCTCGTAGTAGCGGGCCCTCTCGCCCAGCACGATCCCATACACGCTCTCGCCGCCCTTCCCGGTGCCGGTGGGGTCGCCGGTCTGCGCGATGAAGTTGGTCTGCACCGAGTGGAACAGGTTCCAGTTGTAGTACTTGAGCTTGCACAGCTTCAGGAAGTTCCGCGTGGCTGGAATAAGTTTAATCATGTAAGTGATGCAGACGCAAAGAGAAAATCTGTTCTCTATCTGCTGGACTGTTATACTTTAAAACGAAATAGACGTGCAACTGGACGGCACAAAAAAAAAAGGGGAAAGATGAAAAACACAGAAAATACAAAAAGTTCCGAGAATAAATCTAGATAATCGAAATGCAGAGATATATAAATGAGATGTAAATTCACATGTGGTGTGCAGCATATATATCTCAAATATTTATCTCGCAAATTTTGCGTGCTTAAATCATTTCTTTTATATCGACGAGATGCAGAGATAAATGAGATGTAAAGTCACACGTGGTGCGCAACATGTATGTCAAATGTTTATCTCACAAATTTCATGGTTAACTCATTTTTTTTTATATCGACGTTAAATATGCAATTTTATAAACACCGTGCTTAATTCGTAATTTCCAATGACACGCAACTGTGCGAGAAAACATCTTTTGCATCATCGTAGAGTGACACATATGCACCGTGTGTATACTTACTTTGAGGACGCTCCTCGGTGTACAGGTCCACCGTGAAGTCTCCTATCGTAGTTTCCACCACCACGGCCATGTTTTCTTTACGAAAATACTTTAACTGTCGGGCAGTGATCTCAATTTTTCTTACAAAAGATCACTTTTCTCTGGCAAAAACAGAGCTGTCGAACCTCTCTCGTCACAGCTCACCTGGGCTGGATTTACACCGACTGAATTAGGTTATGTTAGGTTAGATTTAAATGTAATTCATGAATGAATGCAGAGGTCGTCTTGTCGTCTACTCCGTCTACTTGAAAAAACATCCAAATCACGTGAAAGAAATAACGCGGCAATTAATTAATCGTTTGCAATTTTAAGCTGCAATTCAAGCTGCAGTACTTTTCGTCGATTTTGTCCGAATATTATCTTGTATTTTATTCTTGGAAATTCTCTTCGACGCGTTACGCGATAATTGACGCAATAATTGATCGAGATTAAAGAGACTCTTCCCCGGCTCCTGTTTTGACGAGGTTAGAAAAAAACGTTGAAAAATATTAAATAACGATAATAAATAATAATATCGTGCTTGATATATTAATAGTATTGATGTAAATTTTATAATTATAAATTATAACGTGAACAATTTTATATAATTAATATTGTAACTAATTAATTGATATATATGATATATGATTTAATATATACATATATATATATGTATATATATATATATTAAATATTAATAATATTCATATATATATAATTATATAAATAATTATAAACAATAGTATTATATATTTAATATATTATATTTATATATCCTATATTATTAATATATATCTTAAATGAAATAACATATCTATATATATGTATATATTATAAAATATCCATAAATAATTATATTTTTATATAAAAATTTTATCTGTGTGTGTGTGTGTGTGTGTATGTAACATTAATTTAATATATGTATTAATATATCATACCATTGCATTATATTAATACAATAATAATTAATTTTTATAAATTTTTAATATATACATTATTATTAATATATTATATTAATAATAATGTTGCATCTGTTATTTCAATAATTTTCGATATCTATTATACCGTATTCATCCTCGAATCGAGGATTCTGCTTTCACGTCTTGAATTGCAAAAAAGTTCAAAGGCGCGAAATTTATATTTTTTTAATTAGTACGCCAGTTGCGATTATATATATATACACTTTGAATTTCTGAGAGAAAGAAAGTTCTTTTGAACTAATATCCACTGGCTACTCATAATTCTTCTCTACGAATTCTCGTATTTAAATCAAATATACCAATTCGAGAGATAATCACACATCAGAAAGAGATAAATATATATCTACTTTATTTAACATACGAAATTAAAATCCCAGACTTGAATTCTCACACGTCAAGATTTTACAATTAAATACCTTTTACACTTGCAACAAAAATTATTAAATGAATTTCGTTTCTTTTTCGTTTTTCCAATTCAAGTAAATCAGAAAATTCTTTAAAGTCAGAATGATTCCAAGATCTCCAAGCCACAGAAACGATTATCCGAGATTTCCCGTTAGGGGCTGTCTACAATACGTCAGATCGTAAGCCGTAAATCGTAAGAATTGACCAATCACAGTTGAATGTAAGAAAAATATTCGACTACGATTGGTCAAGTCTTAGTTAGTATTATATGAGTAGTGACTAACGGCTTATTGTAGAAAGCCTCTTAGACTTTCCCTGGCCTGTCGTGATAACACGTGTAGCGCGTCGCCGATAATCGTATCTGATATATTTCGCTAACGAAACTGCACGACCTTCATCTTCGTCGGCGACAAACAAGACGCGTTTATCAGCGGCACGCTTCTTATCAGTCCACGTCTATAAATACGGGAGTACGTCTGCCGACCGTGCGAATTACACTCGCAATCTGATAACCGCGTTTTTCGTCGGAAGTTCGACGTTCCTCACGTGCGTTTTTGTCGCTGTAAAAAAAATGCTGTCGGCGGCAAAATCTGAGATAGATATGGGGAAGGTGGTGACCCCGAGGAGCATCATCGTGGACTGCGACGCCGGCATCGACGACGCTCTGGCCCTGATCATTCTCTTGGCCGGTCACACGGACAAGAGTCTCAATATTAAGGCTATCACATGTGTTAATGGCAACACCAAAGTCGACAATGTCGTGAGAAACGTGTTCAGAACTCTGCATGTGTGCGACTGCACGGACGTAAGTAATTGTTATCATTCATCTACACCCTTTCCGAGAAAGAAAATTCGATTATTTTATATGATGAATTTAATTATATGCAAAATGTATATTTTAAATAGTACCCACTAATTATAGAATATTATTCCAAAAGAAACTGAGTTGAAAAATCCTGAATTATTTTTTTTTCTACAGTGCTAAATAAAGCGATCGCTACTGCAATAATTACTACTTTATGAATACAAAAATCTCTCTATTAAGGACAAAAATAGTTCTTAAATAGCGCTGACATATCACATATAAAAATATAATAAATACGCTAATCATATATCCGGGAAGAAATAATCGATCTATATATAGAGATCTATATAGTTAGTTGCATCCGTGGAAGTCGAATCGACGTCTATAGATTCAACCGATTATTTCTCTCTGGATAACGCTATTTTTTATAAAAAATTGAATTGAAAAATACTAAACCGTTTTTTTCTACAATGCTCAATGAAGCAGATAATTATTACATTAGTGATCGCTTCATGGAGCATTATAGAAAAAAAAATCTTTCAGAACTTTTCGACTTTTTTATAAGTAACAACGCCATGTAATTAGTGGGTGGTATTTAAGTTACGCTCTGTATATCATCAGAATTTCTACTTTTTTTAAATAATAACTAACATATGTATCTTTTTATATATTATTAAATTATTAATAATTTTATAGCAGTGATCAATTAATTACTTATAACGTAAAATTACTACACGGAAAGAACGATTTTGTTGAAAGGTCTAAAAATTTTGCTGAAATACAAATCTGAAAATAATTCCTGCAGTCTTAAAGAGCCTTAAAGCCTTAAAAGCGCAACATAAAAATCCGTTTCTGCAGATACCTGTTTATCGAGGAGCGTACTCGCCTCTGTTGGACACTCCGAATGCCAAGGAAGCGGCATCGGAGAACTATCACGGTACTGACGGATTCGGGGACGCGTTCGCCGACGTTCCGGACACGAGTAAACTGCAAGAGGAGCATGCCGTGTGCGCCTTGCACAGGATCACGTCGGAGGATCCAGGTAATACGATCTTCTCTCCGCTACAATTATATTACATAATATAATGTATTAACTTAACAACAATTGTTCTATAATTAAAAGGTAATGTCTCCGTGGTCTGCTTGGGTCCCCTGACGAACATAGCGTTGGCTATAAAACTGTATTCAGAGTTTGCCGACAACGTGAAGGAGCTTTTCGTGATGGGTGGAAATTCCACTGGTAATAACATATGAAATTATTCGCGTTAATCCAATTAGCTTACAATCTCGCCGTAAATTTTATCGGTAAACTCCCAAGCTACGTAAAGTTAAATAAGATTCGAGTTTGCATTATTGTTAATCAGATCGTCACAATAGAATGTGGGACGTATAAAAAAAATCACATTTCTGTAATTGCATTATTTAAAGTAGGAAAAAGCGCGCTCGTGGTATTTGCAACGAAAACATTAGATATAATTGCGGTTTGCTAGATTACAAGGCTCGTAAACAGATCGTATAACAGATAAGCCTCGAGAGCTAGGCGTCTCTAATCAGTACAGGACAGAAAAAGCCGTGCACTTCATATGCATTCCATTGGGTGAACAAAATTGTGTAGACTACAATAACAAGTAGGCGTCTGTAATTAATATATATATAACAACAATTATAAGCGTTTGTCGTTTTTCGTTTTTCAAATCGTCTGAATTTCCGTAATTGTATTCAAAGCGCAGGGTAACATAACTCCGCAGGCGGAATTTAACTTCTACGCGGACCCGGAGAGCGTGCACATCATGCTCAACAGCATCAAGAGGCCTCTGTGGCTGTTACCGTGGGAGTCCTGCTTAGAGACCAGAATTACACACGTGCGTACAATTTTATTTCGATAATTATTGAAGAATTACCGAAGGAGTCACCGTGAAATGTATATTGCATCGTCGCTGCAGGCGATCAATCGTTCGACTCGAGTCGATAAACGAATTTCTTTTCGCCAGGAGTGGCGGAGGGATGTGCTGGGCAAGATAGACAAGCCCTGCGTGCACATGATGAACGCGATCGAGGACAGCAGGCGCGCGCAAGGGAAGAAGTTCTTCCCCTATTACACCATGTGCGACGCTTTCCTGGCCGGAATCGTGCTGGTGCCGCGTATGGCCAGGAACGTTGTCGCGTGGCACGCGGACATCGAGCTGGGCGGCAACAGGACCCGGGGCCAGGTTGTCCTCGATCATCTGCTGTCGAACAAGCCGAATGTGCATCTGATACACAGCTTTGACTCGGAGGACTTCAAGAGGATCCTGCTGAAGGCGGTGAACACGATTCGTTCAGATAATCGACGATCTTGTGATCGTACAAAATGTAGCCGTGAATAAATAATTATATGTAAAAACAAACGTTGTACTTGTGTTTCTGATTTGTTATTTCAGTTGTTGTTTCTTAGTTTTTAAATTGTTAACTCTTGTCATGTAATGTTTAAATATTAATTCCCTCTTTCCTTCTTAATTAACAGGAAGTAGCGAGTGACTGTAAAAAATAAAATAAAATACGAGACATTCCAAGAGAATGACAAAAGACACGTAGATGGAAAGAGACTATAGAGAATTTATTTTTTCAGAGGTCGTATTAAGAAAAGCGGCATGATGGATTTAATGGCTTTTGTGCCTGTCACAAAGGCACCGATTATCCAGGTATGCGTATCATCATCCAGGAGAGACGACAAGAAGACAGAATTCTATTTTGATTTGATATTCACTTAATGACAATAATGACATTTAATCGTACGATTTAGCGAGAAACTTATCTAAGTATTCAAGTTAGCTTTACAAAGGTTTTAGGAAAAAATATATGCACATAATACATTACAATTAATTAGCATTATTTTAAATTGCATTTAATAAATTCGCGTTTATGCGTAAATTTATCGTTTTTTTTCACAAATAGAAAATCCATACAATTCCTTTGTACTTATCGTATTTTTTAATTATAAAACAAGTCTTTAAAGACACGATACATAAATACATTATATCAGAAAAGAAGAAAATTGTATATAAAATCACTTTACTTTAAATAACACTTAAATATATATGTATGCCTTTGTAAATTTATTTTTTTCCTGTAAGACAATCAGGTGGAAAGTTAAACGAGATTGCGGTTTTTAATCGGAGCCGGAACATGCGGTTTTTAATATCAAAGAGTTATCAAGGCTCGGAAGACGTGTACACGCAACTCTCGCTTAACTTCCCACCTGATTGTCTTACAAGAAAAAATAAATTTACGAAGGCATAAATATTTTTAAGTGTTATTTAAAGCGAGGTGATTTTATACGCAATTTTTTCTTCTCTTCTGATATAATGTATTACATGTATCGTGTCTTTAAAGACTTGTTACATAATTAAAAAATACGATAATTACAAAAAAATTGTATGGATTTATATATTTTTATATAGAATAAAAAAAAGAATATTTTAATGCAACATAATCCTTCAGCATTTTTTGCAACAATATTCGGTGAATATACAGGGTAAATTCAACGAAACTTCCAAGTTAGAGTATATACCCTTCTATTATCTATTCATAAAATAAAAATGATAATTAAATAATATTAACGAACTCTCGAAATTGTCAAATAAAATAGAAACAAAAGGCTAACGAGAGTTTTTGGCGCGGTAAGGAAGGCGCATACAGTGTCTTGGAATGTTGTATTAAAGATCTTTATTAAATACTTGTCTAATCCATGTTGGACATTAAAATATGGATTAGACAAGTATTTAATAAAGACCTTTAATACAACATTCCACTGCGTCTTACTTACCGCGCCAAAACTCTTATTAGCCTTTCCTTTCTATTTTATTTGATAATTAAATTCTAAAGCAAACAAATACGCAGAATGAACCGCGCATGGAGCACGTTTGCGAGGTGCCGCCGAAGGAGGATCCACTGATGAGTATGATCCCCGGAAGCTCTCCGTGGTCGAGGCTGCGACGCTGGTTTCTCAGCACGCGGATAGTGTCGCGGAAGCATCCGTTCACGCGTTACTACCTGAAGAGCACCCAGGCGATCGACTACGAGATCAGTCGACACCTCAAGTCTCATCCCCACATGATCCATCCGTTCAGCACCTTCAGGTCAGCCGCGACTTTCTTCCCGTAAAAAGCGGAAGTTGTAAATATACAAAATTTGTCGTCTGTTCTCCTCCATCTCGAGAGCGAAAGCGAAATCGAACCGAAAGTTTCTTCAACGTATAGAATATTTTGGGAGTCTGCGATGACGCTGTTCATCATCGCGGCTCTGCTCGCAACTCCGGTCTTCCTCGCATTTTATTTCGACAAGCTCGAGAAGTGGTACGTCATCAACCACGCGATCGACGCCGTGTTCATATGCGACATCGCGATCTGGTTCTTCACCGGCTATTACGATTGTCATATGCAGCTGATAGTTCTGGACCCGAAGGTCGTCGCGAGGTGGGAAATGAAACACACTTATAGCTCTGTACTCATTAAGCTCGGTCTACTCTAAAAACTTACACTTTCCAAAGTGTCTTAAATCCATATTTAAAAGAATGGAAATTATATAGGTATCGCAATTTGTTCCAAATTAGTTTTAATTATAGAAATCACAAGTTGGAAGACTCTCCCATAATTTAATTAGGTATATGAATTTGTCTATTTTTTAATTTATCACTCGTTACGAAATCTCTTATAGTTTTACGCGAGTCTTTTGTTTCCTTTTTTTTTTAAATGCGGATTTAAGAATTAGCCTGCAGGAAAAGCGAGTTTTTCAGTGATTTTTACGACGATCATCTTGTAGCAAGTATCTGCGGGGTTTCTTCGTCCCGAACGTGTTACCGGTGCTGCCGTTGGAGTTCCTCATCCTGCTCTTCGAGTCGCTGTGGTATCTGGCGTCGTTGAACCTGCTGAAGATACTGTGGATACGAACCGTCATCATTTACTCACGCAGACTCTATTCAGTCAGGATTCGTGTTCCCCCTTGACTTCTCACCGCGCGACGGAGTCGACCGTCCTACTCACTTAAACGTTAAACATGAAAATTTCAGGTTTACCGAATTGATTTCCATCTGAAAAAGGGAGCGGAGATTAGCGTCATCATCGTCGTATGCGTGCACTGGGCCGCATGTCTGGAGTATTATTTGCCGCTGGCGGTCGCCAAGATAGTCGGGGAGAATGACGCGTTAGTGAACTATAGAATCGCCTTTGTGCCTCAAATGGAAAATTTAAATTCAATCACTTATCTATATCAGTGAAAAAATATTTTTATTAAAAAATATATATATAACCTTTTTTATATATTTTTTTCCGTTTTTATTTTTTCTCGTTTCATTCTCTTCTTCTTTTATTTTATCATTTTCGTTAATGTTAGTTTCTGGTTTTTTAAAAAATTGTTTCTGTTGTTTATATAACACATTTAATATACCGAAGGGACGTTTTCCCTCCTGTGATAATTAGATAAAATACGCGAGATCCCAATTGAGTATCAAAAGTGTAACGAAAGAACGAAAAATTTGTAGATCGTGGATTCGATCGTCTTACATGACGGAAAGAAGGACGAAGCTTGCGGTCTATCTAACGTGTGTTAACAGAGCTATTATCGCCCTAGTCGGATCCACGCATTATTTGAACGTCAGCACTCCAGAGGATATTATTTATAATCTAATTCTCTCTGTCCTTGGAGTGCTTGGATTTATTTATCTGCTGGGTATATATACGTCCATCGCATTAAATTTTTTTAAAATTAATTATTAATTTAAACGATAAAAAATTAAATTATATCAATTTAAATACTAATTTAAAATACTGAATACAGGAACGAGATCTGAAATATTTGTTTTTATCTTTGTGTCCCATTTCGACTAAATTTCTTATCTCTTTCAGATAATCTTCAGAGGGATTCTAAGCTACTTTTCTATAATGGATCTGAAATTAATGTATCTTAAATCTCTAAAATTATTTCTCTTTTATTTTAATTTCCGTAATACCCTCTTGCTGCGAATTTATTTTATCTCAGGATTAACTAATGTGGTTACTAATCGATAATGAGTCTTTCTTCTTCTCGAAACGGTCGTACAGCGCGATTATCATTGCTAATGATAACGTTCCATTCCTCCCGCAAGAGGCATTTGAAAATAATCCAGCAGCTGCAACAGTACATGAGGTACAAGGAGCTGTCGTATTCCTTGCAGCGACGATTGCTGGCCTACTACAATTACCGCAATAAAAAGGGTATCGAGAGGGAAAAGATTATTATCAACCACGTGTCGCCCTACTTGCGAGAAGTACGTGGATGTCTTAAACAAATTTTCTGAGAAATATATAAAAGTATTAAGTAGTCCAGCTTCTTATGCGACGTTTTCTGCCAATGATTATATCGCAAAATCCTGGCTGGAAATCATTTTGCGAAAATCTTTCCGCTGTCGCGCGTGAGAATTTCCTTCATAAAGGAGATAAATGAGACAATATAAGATTTTTCTGAAATTATATCTCAGCAAATACAGATTACAACTGCAATGTTGCCGTTATAATTTGCGTTTGCTGGAATGTTCCTTACAGAATTGATCCTTTGTCGTTTTAGAAGCTTCTTCTGCACAATTATCACCGATTAATAACCGACGTGGCGCTGTTCAAGTACCTGCCGCAGGCGGTGGTGACACGGTTAGTCGGCGCCATGCGCTCCGAGATTTTCATGTCGAACGACACGCTGGTCAAAGCCGGCACACGCGGCGACGCCTTATACTTTATCGCCTCCGGCACCGTGGCCGTCTACAACATCGTGAGGAGAGAGGTAAAAGATTTAGGACGAAGAATCCGCCTCTCGGATTGGGCTGTCGATCGTCGCATACGACTATCGAAGCTCGACTCGATCTTTGCGTCAAACTCACCAAAATTCAATATCGAAAGATATAATGATCAACTTTTTCATTTATTTTGAATATTAAAAGCACTGTCGTTCTCAGTGTTTTTAATACACAAAATAAATAAATAATCGCTATACCTTCTGGATTAAATTATAATTTAATTGTACTGGTGATTTAAATACAAGTAATTTTCGGTAAATTGAATTTCTGTAAGGGAAGGATTTCTTAAGAAATCGCGTCTCGATCTTAATATACGAATCCCCAATCACTCGCGCGTCTCCGCAGATCTGCCACATGGAGAACGGCGCGTACTTCGGCGAGCTGGCGCTGCTGATGGAGGACGAGCGCTGGATCGCGAGCGTCGTCGCCGTGGAGAACTGCGAGGTCCACGTGTTGCCGCGCGCCGGCTTCCAGTACGTCCTGTTGCCGTATCCCGATCTCCTGGCGTATCTGCTGAACGTCGTGCTCGCGCGCCCGGAGCAGACGCCGACGCACGAGAATACCCACGAGCCGAACTCGTCGACGACCGCGGGAACGTCCGGGACCGTCAATATCAGTAGCATAAAAGTCAAGAGGAGGGAATGAGCCGGCGAACGTTGTGGAAATGTACGAGGAACTTTGTGTCTCTGTTTTCTATTTTATTTCCTTCATTTTTAATCTTAATTGCTTGTTCATTTTTTTATAATTCATTTTTTTAATAACTTCTCAATAATTCTATCTGTATTTTACTACTAATTATTATACAACGGTAACGTTTTATTGAGCTACGGAAAACAGCCTACAGAATTACTCATTTATTAATATTTAACGATCGAAACTTCAACGAAATGTTATCAAACTCTTCTCGCTATTGCAACAATTAACAATTATAATAATCGCTCGGCACAGGAATAATCTCATTAGGTCTTCAACGGACGGCAGAAACCTCGAAGGAGGTTCGCTACACAAAACTGTTTCTAATCTAACTTCACCGTGAACACAGGTCGAGTAGGGTGCCTTCGCATCGCGTTACCCTCTTTGCCGGGATCATCCCCGCGCGCGGGCCCGATCAGAAGCGGCGAGGCCTCCGTTTCTGCGGGTTCCTGTACGACTGCTGGTACACGGACATGAGCCGCCAGTGCTCGGGGTAGTCGGCGTCCCGGCAGCCGCTCACCACGCTGAACGGCGGCGCCAGGCTGTCGATGCAGTAGGCGCGCCGCGCGAACGGCGTCCTCGGCCGCGGCACCGTCATCTTCGCCGGCGGCAGGCCGTTCCGGCGCGCCGCGTCGCCCTCGCCGATCCTCGTTATCGTCGTCGTCGTCATCGTCGTCGGCCGGCGCTTCTCCTCGATACCGAGCGCGAGACCCACCGCGGACCGGATCAACCGCGGGTCCCTCCTCCGTCGCTCGAACTCAGTTTCCGCCTCCGTTTTGCCGCCCCGGCAGGCCGCGCACCTGCGCTCGGTGATGCGCGGCACGGAGTTCGACCTCGACGGCTTCTCGCGTCGCCGCTCGCCACGAAGTTCTACAGATCGAAGCCGTTATTCTTGTTTAATTTATATTGTTTGACTGGCATGCAAAATGCATCCCTATATATTAGAACATCACGCGGCCGTATGTGTCGCGTGAAAATAACAAAATACATGTAAATAATATATTGTGAATTATAGAATATTATGTTAAAAATAGAAATATTTTTATTTGTAAATATTCAGCGGTTATTTGATATAATAGTAGTTCAATTTATACAATTAATATTATATAATTATAAATGATTAAGAATATTTAATGTAATTAACAGCATTGTTTTATACAAATAATAATAAATTCAGCATTTAGCAACAATATTATATTAAAAATAGAAATTATTTATAGACAAATAATGATTGAGTGATATAATAGTAGTTTAATTTATGATTAATATATGATTGATAATATTTTATATTGATAATTTAGTTTTATATGTATAAAGTTATAATTCAATTATATTATAGATAAGATGACAGAAAGAGCGAAATATTCAAATGATATGAATTTTCAAATAGCGAGTATTAAGTGAACCGGCTAACCGCAGTTGAAAGTTCTCCTTATCCTATAAATTGTAAGTCCTAAACTACTGGAGAACGCTCGATTACGATCGAATTCGCCCTTTAAGCAAAGCCTTTCGTTTCCTCGTGCACACATTATTCCTCACCGTTGCAGGAATGTTCGCAGCAGCATCGATTCCCGCCCGTGTCCTTCTCCGCCTCGTCCTGCCGCGCGCAACAGCCGCACTTGTCCCGTCCCTCGCCGCGCGACAGCAGCTCGCGATTCTTCGGCACCGGCGTGTGCTGGATCATGGCGAAGATCGCCGGGGCCGTGCCGCCCTCGGAGCCGTCGATGTGCGTCGGCCGGCGCGGCTCGTACACCGGGTCCAACGGCGTCTCCCAGCAGATCGCCAGGTCCATCCGCGTCTCCGGCTTCTTGCAGCCGAGCGCGGGCCCGAACAGCCCATTCTCCACCCTCGCGCCGGGGCTCGCGCGACCCTGCCGCCACTTCACCGCCTCCCGTTCGCAGCCGGCCGAACAGACGCGGCACCCCCTCCTGAAGACGGAGTCGTCCACCCGATCCGGAAGCGGCTGGTGCTGCAGGTTCTCCGCGTGCAGCCTTTTCGCCAGGGCGAACTTGTCAACGCAGGCGGCGATCTCTGGAGCGACTTGAAGGTTCTTTCATGTTAGAATTACGTTGAGCGAATCATAAATTATATAAAAGTGTTTATGTGACAGAGAATAATTAAATAATTATTAATCTATATTAAATAATTATATATGTACATATATTTAATTATATAATAACTCTAAGCATTGCAATTATTTGTTATAGATATACAAATAAACTCCAAAGACCCCAAAGACGGTTCGGATCCTCTTCGGTGGTCCCGCAAGAGAAAAGAAGAAGAAAACTATTTTACCATGTCTCCGCTCGTCTTCCTCGGCGATCCCGAGGAACTTGGTACATTGGGGCGCGTGTCCGCTCGGAGAGAAGGTCGTCCGCTTCTCCAAGGCGTGCAGCTCGGATCGGCAACGCTCGCCGGGGTCGTCGCACTTACAGACGATCGATTTAGCGCGACAGCGAGCGCAACGTTCGCGCGATTCCATATTTCACTCGCCGGTCGACCGCTTTGCAGTGGATGAATTGACTTGTTCTCGCCGTTTTACGTAACCGCCGATTCATTATTTATTAATGAACGATCGAGAGAGACGGAGGCGCGTCTTTCCCGAGGCACGTCTTCCGGCGGGAGAGGCTCGAATCCGAGGATCGCCGCTGCCGTTCACCGCCGTCGTTCTCCATTTTTCGGGGCGACTGTCCCGAGGAAATACCTGAGCACCACCATAGGAATGCACCCCCCTGGATCACGGAATTACCTCACCTCCCACTCTGGTACGCGCGACGCCGCCGGTTTCCCTGACGACATGATAATTCGATATTCGAGCTCGCTACAGTTGTCACCGAATGCGACCGCATATCTATATCTACTTATTATTATCGATGTCATTGTTGTTCATTAGGTAATATAATTACAGTACAAAATTGCCTTCTCAAAAAAGATAAAAAAAAAGGCGTTTTTGTGTGCCTCAGGAATGCGCACCTAGAAGAAAAAACTTTTATACCAAATTAAAAAAAACTCAAGTGGTACCATCTCTTTTTTTAATAAAAGTAAAATCTAAGCGCTACATATCTTCGTATTTCCATTGAAGGATCTTATTTTAACGCGAGTGGTAGTAACTTTATTTTTTTAAAATTATGGTATCATAAAATTGCGTAATTCAAGTAATATACATGTATCATTTGTATAAATTAAGTAGTAATTATTATATCGCATTCTTGCTTCAAACGTGACAAACAACTCAAAAAGAACGCGATTTTCGAGTTATTTATACAACTGAGCTAGATAAACATTATCATGTCAATTACCGAAAGTCTGGGAAGCTCAATTTTTTAAATCATTTTTGAAGTAGAGAGAGAGAGAGAGAGAGAGAGAGAGAGAGAGAGAGAGAGAGTGCGATATCATATATCCTACTATTAATTATTTCGCCGGAAATAACGAGAGGCACGATAGGATTTTCCAAAGTGGAATTAAAATGATTCTAGATCCATTTACCTCGGAATAAATGGGACTACGAGAACAAAGCTTGAGGAAGGTCGCGATGACTTCGGAGCTTCCGTCAGCCTACGTGCCCATATTCAACTCTTCTCGGTAATGCTCGAACTAGCGCGCGAGCGCGCGCGAGTCCGCATCACGTAAACGTAACGCGGAAAGAGCCGCGAGCGGGCAAAACCACTGATGACGCCTTCTCGAGAATTTGCGTATTATTGCGTATATTTCTAGATCGGCGGGAAAGACGCGCGAAACACGTTTTATATAGATCGCGTCTGGTAGATCGAAAGTGCGGAAATGCAAAGCGTTCTCATACATGCATGCATGAATGTTACGAATATCATTATCACGCGACGCAAGTATTTTGCGATAAAAAAAGAAGGAACGCCGCCATCGCCGCGCCGCGCCGTGTACTCGATTGCGGGCGACTCGAAGGCGGGAGGTGACGAAGGACAGAGATGTATGTACGTATGTTTGTATTTATAGCGGCGAATCCGCGAATCGCGAATGTGTGCTGCGCTGGTGCCTTCCTGGATCATTGCCATTCTCCCTTCCATTCGCCGCGCCGTTTCGCGCCGGAAGAAGACCTTGAAGCGTGTCTCTCTAAATCGCGCGGTCGGAAACACATGGCCGGTGCCACGCGACAGTTGTACTAATGCTCGCCCGATTCCCTTCTATAGGATATTACTGACAAAACATTCGCCACTGCATAAGGTAGGATAACAGCGAGGTGCGGCGATCACACGTGTCAAGTGTGTGCCTCGTTGAAAGTTCACTCGATTTCATTAGCTCGTTCCTTTCTTTTTGTATCGAGAAGAAACGACTTTAATGCATATATGTGTGTATGTATACTGTATAATGTATTATTTACATTATGATGGAAACACGTAATTGAAATTATCTAACACTGACATAACAACAAAAATGACAGGCGTTGATAATCAAAAGGATTGCTTATGCATGGAAGTTCTCTTTCTTTCTCTTCAGGATCGCGCTGGTTAACGCGTTAAAAAAAAAAGAACAACTCGCCCGATCGTTCCGTAAATTATCTCGTATAATAATCTTGCCTAAGAGATCATTATACAGCTTACGGAGAGATTGCAGGAGGAGATAAAGGAGAGAGAATTCGCGGTGAGTTGTTTTAATAGCTACTCCGGCCGGACCGGAGCGTGCGTAGCTTTAATTACGGTAACGATTGTAAATATACGTATTCCCGCAAACGCGCGACACGGGTAACTGCAGCAGGGGCCCCGGGAAAACCGGCGCGCGCGACCATGATACGTTCTCGGTATAGCGACGTTGTGTAGCGGCGATCGTGTGACGTTGAGAACGGATGAATCAGTTTGGTAGCGCGCGGCAGCGTGACCACTAGTGGTAGTAGATCGGAGAACGCCGAGTCGGACGGTCCGAAAGTCCATTGTTCGTTTGTATGAAGAGACGGAGGGAGGACCCCTGCAGTGTGTTCACTATTCAATTGACGGTGAGTGAGTGATATTCAAAGGTAAAAGAACAACAGGTTCTATACAATACGATAAAGTGGTAATACAGGATTACGTTTTTTTTTTTAAATCCGCGGACACTTGTTGAGCAATCGGCGAAGAAAAGATTAATTGAGGCTGCAATCGCATGACTTCGCTACAGAGTATAATTAATTGCAATAGCGAGGGAATGTAATTGTAAAGAGCGCTGGCTAAAAGAGGAAAAGAAATTATTATGAAACAAAGAGAAAACGATATGCAATAAAAGTGAAATATTTCATTAAGGGTGGCGTTCCATTTAACGCTCGCAACGCTCTTGGAATCATTGTTCATCTTTGTTGTTTATCAAATGTGAAACAAGAACGAGATATATATATATATATATATATATATATATATATATATAATATTGCTCGCGAGCGTTGCGAGTGTTAAATGGAATGCAGCCTAAATCTTACGGTCGTTAAATGGATACTTGTATATCTTGAGCTTGAAAGACATGCGAGGGAATGTTCGTGTGGCAATCTCTCTCACGCGCAGTCATAATTAATGACAACAGATGTCAGAAATAAATGTGGTAGTGCGATACAAGCATGAAACGTACGTTCAATTTGAGAGTCTATTCGCGGACTCCCGATAAAATAAGACATTCTCGGACACAGAAAAGCGCTCTTTCGGGCAATGAGATGAGAGAGTAAAATGAAAAAAAACTTACACGCTGTTCCATAGGTATCTCTTCGACCAGACGTCCCCGAAATGAACGGAAAAAACAAGGCCGACGGCGACGAGATAATGTATCTGGACGAGATCCACGACGAGGTGTCGAGGCCGTTGACAGCTGCAGAGGTGCCGTACCCTCCGACCTTCGGTCTGCGCGCCGGTTTCGTCTCGCCGGAGGAGGCCGAGCAGGGGGATTCGCGAGGACCCGCGTTGCTCACCGAAACGGAAGACGAGCACGAGGGGATGCTGGAAAAGCCGTCGGCGCCGCAGGCGATCAGCTTCGAGAGCAGGAACGGACCGGAGATCCCCGCGGGATCCACGGGCTTTCTCAACTCCGTCTTCTCGTCGCCCGTTCCGCCGACCGTCCAGGTCGTCACCCCGGACGTGAACGTCTACCAGCACAAGAAGACCCTGGCCCAGGGTATGATGGACCTGGCACTGCTGTCCGCGAACGCGAATCAGATGCGCTACGTTCTCCAGACGGACGGCCGGCACCCGTACTTCTTCCCGTCGCTCATCATGATCGGCATGAGCCTGTTCCTGCAGATCGCCGTCGGCATCGGTCTCATATGGAACAGCGTCTACGACGTCAAGGAGCACGAGCAGATGTGCAAGGCGAACAAGGCCAACAATTGGACGGTCATCGGCATCTTTCTCGTCACGATATTCAACGTCTTCATCTCGTCGTTCGGCGTTGTCGATCAGACGGTGGTCGTCACGACGTAACGACTCGCTGCATCTTGCCTCCCCCCCCCCCCCGTCGATGCGCGCTCTCTGTCTTTTATTAACGACGCATACGTAATTGTTGCACACAAAGTGTGAATGACCAGATAAAATATTTCCGTTGTTTTCGAAGCGATAACAATTAACGAGTTTAAATTTTTGATTGCATATACGGAAACTCTATAACGCGTGTGTTTTTGTATATATTTGTATAACGCGTACGTTTTCGTTATATTATTTTTTAATGCACATTGATTATCCAATATATCCGATATACCCGATTTGACGTCGGGAAAGATTTTATAAGATTTTCAGGAGAATCCTTGTTACGGTCATATTGATTTATATGAATGCGAAAAGCCACGAGGGGATCTTCTTTTCTCACGTGAATGTTTGTTTGAATATTTTCTCACCATTAGCATGAAAAACAACGAAGATATTTTAGATTCTGACATTCCGCGAGTTGCTCATTCTGCACACTCTTTTTTTTTTAACGTTGTGGAAAACCTTCGAAGAAGGCGCCCTAGTGCCTGTACCCAGGGGAGTGTTGGATTCGGTGGGGACCCTCAGCCTCGGCTTTGGCAACCGCTTATATAACTAAAAACCACCACGGAAGTGTGATCTGTTCTTCTTTCTGCACACTATCAGATGTTCGCATCATTGCAAACTGCATTCATTCATTTATCCATCTATTCGAAACTCGTCGGACACATAAGTAATTTATAGTAGCATGTAATTTTTACTTTTTTTTTATATCGAAATGATAATAGATAATGATATGTTTACTGTATAATAATAAATGATTCTTTTTTACGCGATGTATATAATATAAAATCCATCTATAATATAAGAAAGACACGACGGTGCGTGTCGGTCAAACGTGAACGACAGACGGTATCAACTGCAACATTCCCGTCAACTCGTCGGCCAGTCGCTTGTTGTTTTGTTGAAAATTTTCCTCCTCGCTTTCCTGGCGCCCGTTCAAATCGTCCAACCAGCTGCGCGCCTCCGCGTCGTTACACTGGCTTCTGTGCGCGCGGGACGGGCAATTCAAGGCCGTGTTTCCGGGACCACCGCCACGGCCGTCCACCGGCGGCGTCTCCTCGTGAGACGTAAGACCTCGGAGTTTGTCCCTAATTACGCGACGTAACAGCGAGCAGAACGCGGCGAGTTCCCGCGCGCAGATCGCTCTCGGATTCGATTCCGTGGATCTCCTGTGCTCCTGCATCACCGTAGCCTGCAATGCATATTATTGGCAGTGTTAAGTGCCGCAATTAACGTTGCCGTTCGAAACGCTTGCGGCTCGCTATATGATTTTATTCCGCAAATATACTCGCATCGAGTTTATTACATAATTTGTGATCCAAGCGATTTTTCTTTTTCTGTTCTTATTATTACAAAATTGCAGGAAGAGATCTTTAGTTACAGTTGTATGTACATACACACATACGTTTTATGCGAGAGACAATTGCTTGCTGCAACAGTAGGCTAACCCACATTTTGTAACAATGGAGAAAATAAATTTTACAGTTAAGGTGATGAACAGTTAATTTCTTTAGAATTTATTTTTTTCGTTTTTGAAAAAATATTATAAAATATGAGTTAAACCATTCGCCAGCTAATCCTTCAATTGATAGCATGTAATCTTTTCTGTGAATCGACGCAAATTCTACGAATATGGAAGTAAAATAAATATCTTTACATTGTTTTTTTTCCTCTCGCGTCAAATAAATGATGAATAACGTAATTGTTTTCTTTTATTTCATTAGAGAAAAAATGAAAGAAATTTGCATCGCGATGAATACGAGGAACTTGTTTTCCGTCTTTCAATTTGACACGAGTCAAATTTTTTCGTCTCTCTTTCCCCCCCTCGTAAAGCTTGGCAGAAAATCTTTATCGCTATCGTCTACTAACGGACGCTTTTCGAGTGTCTGCAATCGTGATATCCGAGAGGTATATTTATAATGAAATAGTAGTGTTCAACAGAGCCGCTGAAGTAAAAAAATCCTACCCAAATGAAAACAGATTCCTCGTCTTCATTGCGATGCGAACTTTTAGCGAATTTGATTGGGCGCTCTCAGTGCACATTAAAGTCATCGTACGTAAATCAAAGTAAAGATATACGTTTAATATAAATATAGAAACGAGGAAATATATGGCTTTAATATAAATTGCATAAACAATGAACTGTGAAATCCGCAATACACTTTATTGTGTAATTGCATTATCCTGGTTGAGGTAATTTTTCGCAGTAAGTTATCTTACAGGGTTTAAAAGATACTCGTTAGCATCAAATTATAAAATTGCCTGCCAATTTAATCGTGATATAACATATTCCGGATTCAATTAGAGCTGTACGTTTCAAGACGATATTCGGCGCGCAGTTTGCACAAGCTGAGAATTGTAAGATTCACGCGCATATTATTATTAAACATCAAATTCTACTTTCACCATATTGGCGTTCTCTAATTAATAATAAATTTATTTTTATTTAGTAAAAAATGGGTATTTTATCATTCGAAATATTTCACGTTTACATTCAGATTAAATCAACGGCTTTGACAATGCGTCCAACCGAATTCGCTATTATTTTCCACGAAATAGAAAGAGGAAAGGAAAGAGCCTCCTTGCGTTCTCGAAAAGGGTTTGACGCCCCTTCGAGAGTTATTCGCGCGATTCGGCTCTTCGCCAAGAGAGTTTGATGTCTCTTCACCCTTAAGATTTACCATCCAGTCGAAGAACACGTGCCGCTTCCGCAGCCACTTGACGCGCGCGTCGAGCAGGATCCCGACCTCGCGAAACTCCCGCAGCTGTCGCCGATCCTTCTCGGAACCGTCGCCGCCGCCTCCCCCGTCCTCGAGGACGCGCGACCTTGCGAGGCGTTTGGTCAACGCCAATTCGGACACGCTCAGATGCGGCAGACCGCTCACGCCGAGGCTCGCCGCGTGCACCTTGGACACCAATTTCGCCCGCTCGCGGGCCAGCTCGTCGATCTCCCGCAGATTTAGATTTACCGCGGCGTTCAGGTGCAGGACACTGTCGAGCTGAGCGTTCATTGATAACGGCCCGTCGTGCGGTACGGTAATTAACGACGGAGACTGGACGGAACGATCGGAAACAAAAAATAGCTAGAGCATAAAGAAGGTTGATGGTTCGATGGATAATTCATTCGAGAATCATATATAAAAACGAATATGTATGTTATACATTCATAATGATAGTTAAAAGTCTAAGTCTTAATAAAAACGAATCATTAACAACATAACAACAATAATAATTTTATTGAAACTTAAAAAATTGAACTCGACAACAATTGAAATTATAAATGAACACTCATAAAAGAGCGATATACTATCTAAAAAATTAAAAAAAAAAATGATTTCGATACTAACTTCTGATGGTGGATCTATGTGTGAGCATTCGGCACCTAGAATGCTATCGGCTAATTTCGCTCGAAGGACGGAAGTGAGGACATCCTGTGTTCCCATTAACCAAGCTAAGGCTATCAACGCGTCCCTGTTATGTTCGCCGTCTTGCGATAAACTGTAAAACTCGATCACCGGGTATTGCAAGAACGCGAGATGCAGCTTCACCGCCGATGGCGCGTCTGGAAGTACAAAATCGACGGCATATCGTGCAATAAAATGTATTGTATCAATACATATCTTTTTTTAAACAAAAATATATATATTTTTAATAGAAATAAAATATTAAAATTAAAATAATTAAATAATAAAAATTCAAGGAGTATTGTACACGTAATATAATCTTATATAAGTTAAAATCTCTTTTATACAATTTTTTATACAAAAAAAAATAACACAAAAATTCGAACGCAAAAATTAATTAAAAATATATTCAATATTCTTTTGCGCAGTAATTTTCCACGTGTGCGAGAAATTACAAACTCTTTTTCAAGTACTGCATTTACAACGCAGTTAATTACATAGATTGCTTATCTCTTTTTCTTTCTTAAATGCCGGCATTAAGAGCAATTGTTTACTCCTTAATTACAGCAATTGCGACGCGAAGACTTTTGTGTTAATCGTGCATGTTCCTTAAAACGTATAACGTACGGACGCGGATCTAGGGGTACGATCTACGTGCGCAATCAGGATGCAAATCGGTTTGGAAACGAACCATAATTTCCGAAATCGATGTCGCCTCGTTTTTCCCTCGCGGCGTGACAGCTCAGAATGCGCAGCGTGCTCCACAGCGCCTCGGCCTGCACACACACACACACACACATACACATATACTCACACGTGTACACGAAACATATGATCGCGTTTGACAGATCCGACGCGCGTCGGTCGGATAGATTAGGTTAGGTTCAGCGCATTCGAATCACCGATAATCACGCGGTATACTTACGGCGTTTTCGTCCGGGGCGTTATACTTGGCCAGTTTCAGGTGCTCGGGCGTTAAACTCACGTTTATCAACGAATTGATGTAACCGCACAACGTCGGTAACGCGTCTTTCACCTCGCACATGACGCGACGAGCGAAGAAATGTCACGCGCGCGCGGCCACGACAGACAGCTGATGTCGAATCCGCCGGCTCCGCGCGCGCGGAACGCTCGCCGCAGCTCTCCCCGCTCTAGCCCAATTAAAAATTGGAACGAGCGCCGTGGGGCTAATGACGGCCAAGGTGATCAAGTCCCAGAATCCCAGAGAGCACCAAGATAAAGATCGGATCGGAGTAACGTTGCTCTTATCTCTCACTTTAAAGTGTAACAATTAAAGTGGAAATAAAGTTACATAGTAAACTTGTATAATTTAACAATACTTATCGTTGAAATAAAAAGGTAAACAGAAAATAAAGTTCCCAATGGAACACCGATTACTCCAGATAAAGATTGGATCGGAGTTAACGTTGCTCGCTTATTTCTCATTTTAAAGTATGACATAAAGTGGAAATAAAATTACAATAAACTTATAATTCAACAATAATTAATTTTACAGTAAACAGAAAATAAAGTACCCAATAGAACATTCACTCCAGATAAAGATCGGATCGGAGCAACGTTGTTCTTATTTTTCACTTTAAAGTGTAACATATATAGAGTGAGAATAAAGTTACAACAAACTCATAACTTAACAATAATTAGCTTTGAAATGAAAAGGTAAAATAGAAAACACTCAATAGAACACTCACTCCGATTAAAAGTAGGTATCTATTTAAAAAAAGAAAGAAGTGAACATTCTTGAAAAAAAAAAAGAAAATTTGAATCTTGCATTAATTAGATTGTATCCCCCCCCCCTTTTATTTGCGCATAGTCCTCTTCCTGCCGTCAGGCACGAGAACGAGGTGGGGAAAACCAAACGTGTTCGACTCGGGCTCAATACGTGCGTGCGCTATGCGCGCGTGTCGCTTTTCCACACGTCGCAGTCAGCCGCGGTCAGTCCCACCTTACTTCCCGTCGCGGCTCTCCGTCCAGTCTCTCTCAGCCTCCTCTCTTTCTCACTCGCCACTGTCCGCAACACCGCGGCGGCGGAGGTATTCCTCGGAACGGAATCGTACCAGCCGATCAGTAGAGTGCGAGCGGTCCGCGCGAACAGCGATTGTCCGTCCGAGTGTAAGGTCGCGTGACGTTCTCGTGAGAGATCTCTCTTCGTATTTCGCCGCTCCGCGTTTCCGAGATGACACCGTGCGCACGCTCGCGATGGATCGCCTGTCTCGTGGCGCTGATTCTGGTGAGGGTGACTCTCTCTCTCTGTCGCTAACATTATATATTATAAATCCTCCCCTTCGGGATTAATCTTCAAAATTAACGCGCGCCTTCCCGTTCGATCGCGAACGAATGTGCTCGACGAACGTGTGTCGCGCGCGGATTTATTATTCATGATACGTGTCTCTCGCCGAATTTTTTAATCGCCGATCGCCGGATACTTTTGCCGACGATTTATGGGATTTATGCGTGCGGAGACCGCGTTCTTCGGTTGAAAGACGCAGAAACGTGCATATGCGTGCACTAATAGCGAGTGGAAGATTTTACTGCGGAGATTAATATACATAACGACGCGATGTCCTTACGTTTGTCTTTATCTCAATACCATCGCGGAACCGCCGAGGTTCTTTCGGCTCTTTCTCCACAAAAATCGTACATCATTGAACATCGAAAATTTTCATATTGAAAATCGATTGAGGATTGCGAATTAGAGATTAGATCATTTTACCGATCTGATCATTTCAACTTTAATCCGTTTCATTTTAACCCAGGAAGAAATGATCGGTCAACAGATGTACGTCGATTCGATATTTATAGGCGTCGATTTAACGTCGATTCAATGTTTATATATAGACGTCGAAATGACGCGCGTTTGTAGACCGTATTATTTCTTCTTGAGAAAATTGATCTCCTTGCTGGCGACAATTGATTAGATTTCGAATCTTTAATTCGTAATCTTCGATCTTCAATCTCCAAGTAGTCCGATACACGCAGACTCTTAAGAAAACGAAGACGCCGATAATTGATGTCTCAGGGACAACGCAAGTGTTAATCAAAGATAATTATATGAAAACGATCGTGTTTCGAAGCGTTATTGAAACCTGCCTTTCGAAAATTCTTTTTTTCTCTTCCTCTACGAATGCGTGCCCCTAAATTCCTCCGCCTTCCCCTTTTCCACGGATATCAGTCGTCCACGTTCCACTTTTATCTCCTTACGCGCTCCTTTCTTCCTAGAACGTAAATCGCTTTACGTTTTTTCCCCTTACCGGTCCGACAAGGTTTCCCAACAATGTAACAGATTTAAATAACACGTTTCGGAATTAAGCTCTCGGGCTGCTACTGTGACACATGTATCTGATGCACGGGGAGTGCGATATAATAAAACGATGACAGGTAAGATTACCTGGAAGTCGCGCGCGGCGATCCGCTATGCCGCAATGGCGGGAGGAAGCGCGAATCAAGATGCAGGAGGATTCATCTAGAGGGGATATATCTAGGGAAATACGTGCACAGTAAAACTGGCGTTACAACAGCTTTCCGGAATTATAGAAGCGGCAGGATTCATAATTGCGGAAAGCAAGCGTTTTTCTCCTGCGCGCGTTTCGAGATTTTCACGGAATTTTCCCCGCGAAAAACCTCATACAGCACAAAAGCTTGCAGAAACACAACACTCGCTCTAATGTTACTGTAACATTGCAGCAATCTTGCTGGCAAGCTTCTGCTTTGCATGGGTCGGATCTTCGGCGATCGAATCCGTCACCTCCGCGGTTCGCGAGTACCTCATTTCTTCCTAGGTATAGCGACTCTTTTAACTTTGACTTCCTACACCGAGAGAAAAATATAGTTGGTATAATCATAATTTAACTATAATTTACAGTGAATTTCGGGGACAACTATAAAATTATAATTAATTTAACCATACAAATTATAGCTGCTTTAACAATACATTATGGTTATACATTATGATTAATATTATTTTTTCGTTTACTTATTTCTTAGTTATTATTACAGTACAAATAGTAAGCAAATGTTAAGAAATATAGTTATACTATAATTGCAGTTGTATTTACTACATAACAATATTTATTTCATTTGTCATATATGTTTTGATATTTTACTGTACTTAGATTTGAAATTGTTATAATTTATAGTAAAATTTTTTCATATTTGATAAAACTATACATATAAGGTTATTATTACTAACATAGTAATAATAACTACAAAAATAGTGCTCTTAACCATAATTTTTTTACCATGCAATTATAGTCACAAATACAAAATATTTTTCTCTTAGTGTATGATAGAGCCGTGAGAGGAGAAAATTTTTACCACTGAAGAAATTTTTCACTCTTCACGTTTCCGCCCTATAGGTAAAAAGTTACGTGCTTGCTAGTTTGCTCCGATTCTTGGCAAACATAAAGAGCGTAAATTGAGTGTAATCCTTACGTAAATTTGAATTTAATACTGGAAATTTGTACATTTTTAATACTCAAAATAAATAATTAATCACTATCCTTCGAGTATTAAATTTGTCTAAGGTAAGGGAAAGATATGAGGGAAAAGTACAGAATCTGTAAGCGAAAGTTCTAGAAAGCGTAAATCAGAATAGCGAAATAAAGAGGCGATGATCCAATTATAAAATGTTTTTTAAACTTATATGGGAATTTCTGCAGGGATTCCCTGTAGAATCGTTCTCTGGGAATCCCTGCAAAAATGTTAACAGATTACATAATCTCGCTTGCAGCTGCACTTGTAACAGTATCTTATGCCGCCTCTCAACTTTCTGTAGAAATAATATGATTTATCTTCCACTTATCGCGCCGCTCCGTTCACTCCCTCGAGCGCGCGAGCACGTTTGCATATCGCGCGCACATTGCCGCGATTTCGATCGCGCAAGAACAGGCCGGCGGGTTGTTTTCCGCAAGCGCTTGCGTGCGCGCGTTATTTCGCGGAAAACTTATTTTTAGAGAAGAAAAAGTCCCCGCGCGATTCTATTGTAATTCCATAAATAGTATAAAATTAAATCCTCTCTCGCTCGGTAGGCATGCCAGACGGCTCGACCGATCGAGGGATATCCTCATTCTCCGAACACCGGAAGTCCGCAGGACACGACGTTTTCGGTCTCAGAATTGATCGAAAAGGCGTACAACGATAACGTATTTCTACGACCGCAACAATCGCCGTGGCGGACCGATCACGAGGACCATCAAGGTATCGAACAGGACACCTCGAAGCGGCAAGAATCTTCGAGCGTAAGGACGATGCAAATTCCCCAGAAAAGGGAATTGCTGCAAGGCACGTTTACCTTGTATTAAAAGATCGACTCCAAGTCGATCAACATTCCTTTTCAGCGACTCCCGGGAAATGAGTCAATAATTATTTATAATCTGACCGTGCAGTTAGTGGTTTTATTAGAACGCAATCGCGGATCTGTTTAAAATATTGCGTTTTTCTCCGTGAAACGGGAACTGTTTACGAAATAACGTCAGCGTGTATGCAGTCCATAAATAAATTAGAATATGAAGTCATAAATTGATAATATAAGAAACTTAAAAATATTTTGAGATACGACAATTTTTTCACCAAGGAATCTCTCATATTGGAAAGAGATTCCCTGATGAAAAGAATTCTCATATCTCATAATATATATTTTTGAGAATTTCACATTTTAAATTTATGGAGATAAATTTATGGAGATAAATTTAAAATATGATATTCTAAAAAAAATACGTACTTTAAACTTCTTCATTTCAATTTATAAGTTTTTTTTTTTAGAATGACAATTTTTTAAAGAATATTTCATAATTTATATATATGAATTTAAAAAAAAATTTTTTTTAATAGTGAGTTTTCTCAGCATTTTTGAAATGTTTCAATTCGTATAAAGAACCTGAGAATTTTTCTAAAAAAATTATAAAATTATATAGAAAATTGTGAATAATTTTGAAATTCATATAGATATTCTGAAACATTATGTTAAGAGTTCTCAGAAAAATTGTCACCGTAGTGGTTACTTACTTTTATTCCGTAATAATTATTGCTGAGGTGTATTTCTTTATTGCAGTGTCGAGCCCGGACTTTTCGACGTACAGAAACGCGGGTGTATCGACGCACCGGAACGTCGGCGTGTCGTCGCACAGGCACACGGACGAGTTCGTTTTCCCGGATCCGGTCGACGGCAGGATCCCGTCGACGACGGCGCAGATGTCGGTGGTGCCGACGTCGGCCTGCCGCAGGAGCACGTTCTGCGAGAACGTCGCCGACTATCCCAAGCAACTGGTGAACGCGGCGATAGCGCGGAACGTCAGTTTGAGGTTCCTGGATAACGTCGATCCATCAGTAATTTACAGTCTGTCACATACAGTATAGCGCGCGATCGCTCTCGTAAAAACCTCTATGTCGTTGCGTCGAAATCAAGATTTGTTTTTTATACTTGACCGCAATTGTCCAGCTGCGCGCGCGCGTGCAGAACAAAGAATCTATGCGAAACTGACGTTATCTCGGCGAGTTACGTAAACTTTCGGTGCGCGCGAGACACGCGAAAGTGATATTATAAAGGCGTTCTTCCGACGCGAGGCACTATATGACTTCTATCGTTTTATACAGCACGGTACGTAATAAGATCCGAGAGTCTAAATTAAAACCATTATCAGCATAAATATAGATTATCGTGGTTTTATATTCTCCTGATATAGCAATTTGTTTGCGTTTGTTTATCATTCCGTAAAGTATCTCAATCGACATACATGCGTCCTTTCAGATCATCGGACAGAGGATAGACGGCGCGCCGGAAGAATTGATGCTCTGTCAAGTTGAAGTGAGTTTTGGTTTGGCTTATTTCTTGCTCCTTTGAAGGATTTTTCAATTTCTTTTAAATAATCTCCTTATGAGCGTATGCGAGGGAGAGGGGAAGATTCTTGCCTCCTTAAATTTTGGCAGGCTGAAACAATAAAATTACGAAACCATTTTTTTTCTACGAAAAAAAAAACAGGAAGAAAAAGTATTAAGAAAGTTCGCTGAAGATTCTCGACTAGAGGCTTCAATATAAATATTTTAATAAGTTTTGTGTGAATATAAATTTTGGTCCCTACCCGCCCGCATCACTGAAATTCTGTGTACGCCCATCGTTTTATCTCTGTAATAAATATTAGAATTAGCTGAAACAATTAAATAAACAATTACAAAACCATTTTTTTTACGAAAATAAAGAAACAGGAAGAAAAAGTATTAGAAAGTTCGCTGAAGATTCCCGAAGACAGGCTTCAATATAAATATTCTAATAAGTTTTATGTGAAAATAAATTTTTGTTCCTCCCCCCCCCCCCTCCTACCAATGAAATTCTGTGTACGCCCATCGTTATCTCTGTATAATAAATATTGGAATTAGTAAATAACATTTGAAATATACATGATATATCCGTCGAATTCGCAGAATCAAGTGGTGTACCCGCAGCAAGCGCAGAACAAGGAAAAGCAGTGGCTGTTCATCGTGAATCAGGAGGACTTGAGGCAGGGGATACGCATCGAGGTTTGCTTGTAAGAGCGATTCTACTTAGAGAAAAATAATACGGGAGGGATATCCCCCCCCCCTCCCAATACACATTCATTATCAGCGGACTTTTGATTGCAGGAACAAAGGCCAGGCGTGCAACGTAGTCGACGGTTTCGCCGAGGGTTACAAGACCTTCTGCAAGCAGAAGTACATCTATCGCGAACTGGCGGCGGTGGCGACCGACGGGAACATCGTCAAGGACCACTTCCGCTTCCCGTCGAGCTGCTGCTGTCACGTGAGGTTCGTCGGCGATCCCACCGCCAGGCTGGGTGCAGGACAAGATCTGCCGAACAATCGAACGCAATACAGCCAGTACAACTAAAATACAAGCGGAGCCAAGATGCCATGAACGACGCCTTCGACAGGAAAGCCGCGCGCGACCGCCGAGGAGAACGAGCGAGGAGGGCGAACGTAAATGGAGTAACTCTCATTTCCCATGCCTACGCATAGACGTTCGACATATAACGTCGCATCTTCGCACGCTTAGGACACTCAGGATGACTAAACTCCGATTAATTTATCGAGCGTATCATGCTTATATCATGTTAAGCGAATGTCGTTAACTGTAGACAGTAAAATTATTAATTTTCTAGAACTGAATGTGTACATAAATCCGCACTCTGAAATATCAAGCATCCTTCGGTGCTACCGTGAATACGCAACATACCCGACATTTTCTCTTATTTTGTATGCCATAATTTTCTACTAAAAATATTGTACAGCACATTCGCTTGTTATCGTTATATTTGTTACGTCTGGTGTTTCAATTTAAAAGAAAAATTTTTCTTTTTTTTTTATGCGACATTTTTACACAGTCACTCCTGTAAAATGTATAGTGTGGCACCGGAGGGTTAAACGCGAAGATCTAGCTCAGACCGAAAAGATATTTCCCTACTTGTGTTATTCACGTATCAATTTAGTGTCACTTATTGTTTAATTTTTCGTCTAACACATGGGAAAAAAAAAATATAAGATCAAGGGCAACGAATATTATACAACTGAAAATCTTGCTGTAAACAATTCTGTCGATTAAATCAATTGTCGAGCTTGCTCGAAATCGTCAGCGGTTTTGGTTACCCCTTTTTTCTTCATTAGAGAACATCGAGTGGAAAAAAAAAGCTATGAAGACACCGGTCTTCGTTCTCTTTCTCGCGTCTCACGCTCGCTACGTTCGTATTACGTCTACGATTCGGAGAACCACGCCGCCGCCGTGTTCGGAATACGAAGATGGAAGTTGGAGGAAGTCGACGCACGTAGGGAATTCGCGAGTCCGAGAATCGGCGACAGCACGTCGATCAACGGGAACCGGGTGGATGGATGGTCACCATGAAGGAGCTCTCATAGCGGTTTAAATATCACCAAAATGCTCTCTTGTATTATTAATATATATATATATATACGCGAACAATATTCGACACAATATAGGATAAGTGTTGCGTGTACAGAATTATATTATCATGTGATATTATGTGATACGATTACTTATACTCTAATTACGCGTCTACGTTGTATATCTTCTAAATCTTACAAAAGTAATTTTACAAATAAAGCGATCTATTTTTCCTCGTTCTTTGTGTACGTACTCTTTTTTTTTTCCGCGTGGAACGTCAGATCGCCGATGAAAAAAGGCACATTACGATCTATAGGATACGTATTTGTAGAACATTCAAGGGCGCCTTCGGACGCAACGCGTCTAATCTCCTATCGGAAATGCAGAGAGTTTAAATTCGTAAAACGATTATCTATGGAATATTTCTGGCAGTTCTCCGTTCAATGGAAGTCACGAGATTTGTCCAGGTGTAATGTAAATTTCCCTTAATAAAAACGTCGTACAAAATGCAATACTTGTCCGTAATGGAGGAAAAAAATGCGCTCGCCTGTCGGACGAGTAAGGAACATGGATATCAAAAAGAATACATCAGTCGTCTCCTTCCGTCGCATCGTCGAAGCTCTCTCGCTCTGTCTCGGTTGTATTAAATATCCTTGCTGCGACGTTGGCGAAGCCTATCCTCAGCACGCCTGCGACAGAAAGAGTAAGTCAACATTTACAGCACTGGCGGAGTGACAAACAAGAAAGAATGCAACATTTTGAGTAAAACAAAGTCGAGAGGTCGTCCAAAGTGAGAAGAGGCAGCTCGGGATCTAACAAATAAGTGTCGGTCCACAATGAGGATTTTTAGCCCTAAGCAGTAAGAAATAAACCAGGTGTAGTCGAATACGGGGAGAATAATCGATTGTAATTGATCAATATCTTATGGTGTAAGGCTTAAAATCCTTACTGTGGACCGACACTAAAGCGGTGTCTACAATGAGAATACATCTACAATTAAGATTTCAGAAAATTTATCAATGTGACGAATAATCGCCCATGATTGATGAATTTTCTTAATTAAGTCTTAAAGTCCATTGTAGACACCGCTCAAGGAAAAAGCGAGAAAAAGGAGGAGTTCGGGAGCTGACAAGCCCCTTCCTCGAACGAGCCGTACCTTGGCGTTGAAGTCGCTGTCGAAGCCGCTCTTCCGCTGCATCTGCGCCTGGAGGTCGGCCAGCTGGGCGATCGACATGTCGATGTCGCCGCTGCTGATGTGCGCGGTGTGCCTGAAGTTGGTGGGCACGCCGATCATGCTGCGGTCTATCCTGAGCCTCTGATGGGGCGGTCTGCCGCCGCCGTTCCGCCTGCCCGCGCCGCTCCTCGCCGCGCGTGGCGTCTGCAGGCAGCACGTGAAGCACTGCACCCAGAGCTCGTTGTCGCCGGCCATCTCTCTCTCTCTCTCCTCGCCTCGCTGGAGATGTCCTGTCCTCGCAGGGATCTTCGTCGGGATCTTTAAAACGGAGTCTACAATGAGGCTTAAGACTCAAGAAAATCGACCAATCGCGCAATTCCTCCTCACGATTATTCTTCGTGAAGACGAAGAATAATCCACTGGAATTGGTCAATTTTCTTAAATCGCAAGTATTAATCCGCTGCGGGAACCGCTTTACGTGGATAACAGAAGAAAGCCTCGGAGTCGCTCAGGTCCGATCTCCCGATAACACCGGAGAGGGAAGCTCGGGGAAAACCCTCTCGGGACTCGGAACGGGAGCAGCTCGGGACGGCAGGACAACGGGGATCCCTCGGCTCCTCCCCACGGCTCGCGGCACCACACGCGGATCTGCGCACACGCTGGGGGTCCCTCAGGTTAAACCTCGCGCGCGGCGCGTACAGGTTAAGTCGACGCACGGCACGGCGCGCTGATCTCAATCCCTCGTCGCGCCGGTCTCAACGGCCGACGACGAGCCGGGCGGCAAAACAAACATTTCCGTGGCGTGGCACGCGCGGCCCGCGGCGGCGAAGGACATCGGTTTCTCCCCTGCTGCGAGGCGCAAACAACACCGGAGGACGACGACGAGGACGATGACGTATCGACGGGGGGACAACACCAGCGCGCGCGCGCGCCGCGACGATGCGGACGATGGAAACAAAGGCGAGCTCTGCTCTGCTCCTCCGACCTCTCGCTCTCGCTCGCTCGGTCCCCGCATTCGCGATGTTGACACGAGCGCTGTCATAAGTACGCGCGCGCGGCCCGTTTCACACGATCCCGCTTCTCCTCGCGACTCGCCGCGGATCCTCCGCGTTTCCTTTTACGTCCGTTCCTTTGTACAGGCTCTCTCCGAGTCGACCGAGAGTCTCTCTCTCTCTTGCTTGCGTTACTCCCTGCACTTAAAATGGAATATAGAGGTGCATAACTGGACCCGAGGGGCCCGTTGGGGAGGAAAGGGAGAATGATGAACAGTAAATTTATCTCTACATCTTCACAAAAGAGTGCCGGCTGCGGTGAACGGCGACTGTTTCTCACGTGTGCCGCAACTGGCTGTCTTGATTTTAAGATTTCTATTATAATCCTTTAGGAATCTTTTTTTTTTTAGTCTTTTAACGGTTTTACTGACGTGCGCGATACGTATCTGTAACGTTATATAACATCCCGTTAAACCTTTTGCGCCCTGCATTTTGTGTTGCTATTTTTACGTGGGAAAAAAGAAAGGTTTCTGAACTTGTCATCGAAACATCGATATAGATATAAAGGGACTAATTCCTATCTAAATAGATCTAAATGGATCTTTCACGCGTATCGACCTTTTCCTTTATTTTTCTCTTTTTCAACCCCAGCGAAAATATTTTCTTAACATTTTTTAGATATTTTTTTTAGAATTTCTACTTAATAAATAACTTTTAAAAAAATTTCTCAGATTTTTGTACATGAATTATAGAACACTTTGCAGAAATGCTGAGAAAATCTATATCTTTTTCTTAGAATTTTTTATGGAGTTAAAGTATTTCAAAATTTTTCATTCTACAAAATTAATGAGTGTTTATAAAATTTGAAGAAATAATGTACTTTTTTTAGAAATCTTCATAAATTTAAAATTAAATTTTTTTAAATATATGATACAAAACAATTTTGCTTACTAGAATAGGAATTTTAAATTCTTACTTAAAAAAAAATTGCATCAATCATAACTTTTAGATGCACTTTAAGATACTTTGTTATTTTAACAAATAATAGTAACTAATTCCGTTTTTATAATTAAGCGAATTAATACATACATACATCCGCGGAAAATCGACCGAGCGTTCTCTGTATCGCGCGTAATTTCCCGTACCTAAATGGCCTATCGCGAATTGTAGATCGTGTAAAGTGGGCTTCCAAACTTCGTCCATCCTCCTTGCGCTCCTTTACTGCCTTATCTTTGTCTTCCTTGTCTCAACCGAAGCACGAATGTGTTTCGAGTGCGGGAAGTGCAAGGATGTACAGTTAGAACGAACCGATCTGTACACAATGCGTCCCAGATCGATGTAACATATTCCTGAGAATCGAGCTTCAAAAGAGAGAAATAAAATTAATTATTGTGATTACTCTCATCGTTAATGTCTAATGAATCTCATTTATTGTTTCTTAATGAAACAAACTCATATTTTCAAGAATTTTTCATTTCAAAAGTTTTTGAAAAAATTCTATTAAAATTCTTCAGATTTTATAAGAATTCTTTGGATATTACGGAATACGAAATTTTAGAGTATTTCAGAATTTACATACAAATGAATTCTAGAAAAGATATAACTTTTTTTAGCATTTTCCATAAAGTGTGGTTCAATTTATGTAAAAAAATCTGAGAAATTATTTTAAAATTATACAAAAATTTTAAAAAATTCTAAAATATTATATGAAGAATTTTCAAAAAATTTTTATCAGAGTTAAAATGTCAGCAGTATACTAGTAATAAAAAGATTTCTTATTCATATAATGAATAAAAAAGAATTATAAAATCTGAAGAAAAAATAAACTATTTTTTTTAATTCATAAATTAAAAATATATGACAAATTCTTGAAAATGTTCGAGCAGAATATCGTGAATGGCATCAGCACGCTCGCATTAAGCTTGTATTTGCCCGCGCAATCTGCAGATAATGACATAATTTCATAGCAGATTGCCAGATTGAAACTCTGAGCAGAATCAATCATTTCACAACCATTCAAATGGAATTACGTTATTCAAATATTTACGAAATGACAGGCTTCGCTTGATTTCTGCCAAGTCAACACAAGTTGGCACTTCTGTTAGCATTTTCTGTTTTCATATTTCTGCAAGATTTGCGGCAGACACTTCGTAAAATTTATCTTCAACAGACTTGATTATCTGGAACTCTTTCGTCAAATATGAATAAGTTTCAATACATTTAGAAAATCATATCCTCGATAAATATCGAGGTCAAATAGATTCAAATTAAGTCATCAGATCAAACATCGAGCCTAGATAAAAAATAATTTTAAAGGAGGCCGTTTAAATCTTAACTCTAATATTGCTTGATAAATACACTGTAAGTACAAAAAATTATTTGCGCAGCGAAATTCGAAAGTTCGTCGACCAACCACGTTCGGAAGGTTCGACGTAGTTATCTTCGCGTGCAAATTACGATCCCGACAATATAACTTTCGACGACATTCACGTCTGATTATATTTACAGTGGAGAATAACGATGGGAGGGCGAGGGGTATGTAAAATGCCAGCTAATACACTTTATTTAAATAAATTATGTACAGGTGTGCTTCGAGTCGGATCGAGGGCGCCCGACCCGCGCCCTTTCATCGCTTACAACATAAATTAAAGTGTTAATTTCTTTTACGATAAATTGACTGCAAAGGCCTTCCCGATCTCTCTCTCTCTCTCTTTCTCTCCGTGTCCTTCGATTCAACCATATCCTCCCCCGCTCCAACCGATCCTTCCTTAGGTCTCTCTCTCTCTCTCTTTTTTTCTCCCCCCCCCTCCCCTCCCCCGAACGTGTCTCTTTCCCAGGTGTGTCACGCCCGGTTCGCGGAACGTGTTCACGCAGACGTTGTTAGAAATTATCACAGTCTGTCTATTTACAGCGTTAAACGTTTAACGTGATGTGTGGTCTTAATTTCTAGAGAATTAACATCGCCTCCCGCTCGCGCGTCACTCGGGCACTCCGTGCCGTATGCGTTCGCTACCGTTTTTTAACGTTTAAAAAAAAAAACTCGACGAAAACGCCACACGCGCCTATACACACACGCAGACACATACATACACGCACGCACGCATGCACACTAAACGCATATAAACGTTAAACGTGGAATTTGCGAAACGGATAATACTTTAACTGTACGTGCGAATCCGAGGGAAACGCCTCCCGCGATAGCGAGAGCCCTACTAAGGAAGTAAACTTACGTATTTAATCGTACATATAAGTGTCTACCAAGTATCGGACAACTTAACGGCGAATTCGTACAGTTGAGAGCAACAATGCTGTCCAATTCGGCCGTGGAACTTCGCATCTCCATCGTGGACGTAATAGTACGAATAGACGGTGTTCGTAATCGGATTTTACATTTAAGAACGATCGCAAACAATCTCGAGAAGCAAACAATTTTGGATGCGTTTAAAGAAATGAAGCAGTTTTGAACTTCTTGGGAGTGTCAGTAGAAGCAAGTTTCCTGGAAACTTTATAATGCATATATTCTTGATTGTTTCAAGATCACAAAATAATGCTTAAAGCATTTTAAAAAAAACTCTTGACAGTAAATATCAGAATTTATACTGATATTTCATTTGTCTTACGACAAATTTTTCAAGTGTGTTGATCGGCTACAAGAACAGAGAACTTCTCTACTTTGCAGCGATACAGTTGAAATGTTTTTGTCGTACGACAAGATGGAATATTAGCCTTGTACATTAGTAATCTTCAAACAGAAGAAATACGCAGTCCGGAGGAATTGCATGAATGCCTTCGAATTGCGCAACGCAACCGAGCTGTTGCGGCTGCTCGATTAAATGAAAGTAAGTTCATATTAACATCCAGTTTAAAATTGCAGTCGAGTAGAAAGTTACAAGAAGCACAAAATTGTTCATCTCTCTCTTTCCAATTGATATTTAAGAACGATATTCGTGAACGATCTCGAGAAATTTATGCAGCCGACTTCAAACGCCGCTTAAGACGAGCCTAAATATAAACTCTTAAATATAAGATCGCGAGACGCCAACGAACAGTAGAATTGTGGACGGGCGAAGTGATTAAATACTTATATGAAAAAATATACTATCGCTCTGTGTGCACGCAATCGCGAAAAAGAGAACGTACGCGTTTCCGCGACGTCCCTCTATAATATACCTCTACAATATTATGTCTATTATCAACAACGATGCGTAAAAATGTAAACGAACAATTCGTGCATGCGCGAAGAGATAAAGAGTGTCCCCGGGCCGTGCACTTCTTCCTCCGTCACGTCCCGACTGTTCGTCGTCATCGCTTCAACGCGAAGCCCGTGCTTCCTCTATTCGTACTAAATCTACAATTTGCGTGTCCGATGTCTTCTATACCTCTACGAAGTTCACCCCGTCTCTTTCGCGATCGGTCGCGGTCTGAAGAAGAGCGAGAAGCTGAGAAGAGGGTGAAACTGCTAGTTCGACCTCGCTACGCCAAAATTGGACAGCATTCTCACTCCCAATCGTATTATAGATTTCGTTTATCATATTTTGTATTTACATCTAACGTACTTACATATACAAAACGTCACATAGTAAAAATTTCCGCTGTAATCTCTCGTATGTACACGATCGTTTAGGAGAACGCAGGTCGCGGTCCTCGAAATTTCGGCGTTACTTAATATTTAATATGGTTTTCGCTTCTTTCTTCGCTTTTCCGAAAGCATGTGGACTCGGAAAGGAGGCGTTGAGAAAAATTTTGCAAAAATAGAATTTGGCATGAGATTTAAAGGAGAAAGTTAATCGGACGTTAATCTCGAGCAGATTGAAATGTTTTTTGGTCTAAATTAAAATGTGTAAGAGACTCGTCATTTTAACTTCCCTTGTGATGATGCGGATAGGACAGAGTCACGGTGGGGAGGGTAGAGAGGAAAAAAGGGTGCTTGTTGCTTAAGGACTGAAAACATTTGTAATTATATCGTATCGTCTGATTTTAGGCAACTCCTGGATTCCCCTTTGAATAGGCCACCCGACCGTCAGACGAGTACACTCGGATATATCGTTATGCCTTCGCGTCTGAAATAGGCGCTCTCGAATGTATCGCACATGCAAATATTCTTGCAATCGCTACAGTCGAGTAAAAAAAAGCACAAAATTGTTTTCAATTATTTAAATTATTTAATTATAATTCAATTATTGAATAACCTGTTTGTTTTTAATAATTTATTTAAGGAAGAGTTTTCTATAAAGATTGAAAAAGTTGTCACGAACGCGATACTTAGTTCAAAATCACAAATGCCCAGGCACGTCCGATTTGTTTAGGCCTTCGTGATTCCAAACGAAAAAATACCTTAATTTCGTATGTAAAGACACAAGTGACGCCGAGTGTACGCCGAGCCAACTGGATCGTGCGGTATCTTGCCTCCTAAACAGAGTGCGGAAGTTCGTTACCATGGTCAGCCTCTTCCTAATTGGGCGAGCTGAGATTTGTTCAGGTGGGCCAGGTTAGCTCGATGACACGAATAATAAAGTAGAAGAGAGAACATACACGGTGTCTCTCAATTACAGACTCGAAATCGATTTTTCTCGATAAAGAGCTTACTTCTGAAATTTCTAAAATTTTATTTCTTATAAATCCATATTTTTAAAAAACGTTTTAAAGCCTTATTAAAAAAAACATGTATAAATAGAAAATATTAAAAAATTAGAGAAATTTTTTAGGATTAAATGTATAATAATTCCCAAATAGTACATGTGTGTATTGAAAATTGAATAATCAATGATTGAGAATAAATGATGGCGAGTCGATTTTTCAGAAGAGAAAGCGACAAAATGTATAATTCTCGATTCATTTCACAAGTGGATATTTGAGTAAAATCCGAATTTACACATTTTGTTCTCTCAAAGATTTAATGACGCGAAAAATTGAAAAATTAACGTTAAACAACGTTAATTTTCTTTTTTTTTAACTACTCTCATTTTGACGGAAAAAAGAATAATCAGTTTTTACGTTTTCATCCAATCGCAGAAACGATAGTAGGTGATTCTGCGACACCTTGTGAAAATTATTTGCACCATCGAATTGGATCGTCACTGGTGCCTCCCACGTGAATCCTTACGAACTTCCGCACCTTCCTTACAATTACAACAATAAATCAAGATATGATCGGTGTCAGTACGATTGATATCTTTTGTTTTGTAAAAATCAATTCTACGAATTTATTCCAACGTAAATCAGAGAGATAAGATCATACAGTCTCTAAATTTCTCAAAAATATAACACTCTTTAACAATAAAGATGTAAAACATAAATACTCCTGTTTTTGCAGGCAGGCATTCATTTTAAGAGATATTTATATAACATTAATAATTTCAAGATATTCATATTCTGTCAAGCTAATAGCTGGATCAACTCGGATTTACATAGGAATAAACCGGCAGAAATTATCTGTTACTAAAACAAAAAGTCTGCCGAGACCATCCCTAACTTGCGTTATGCAGAACGTGTGACCTCAAATGATAAAGTAATAACTCGCTCCTATCGGGCGAAGCCGAGGAAATCGGTGAGCCGGTCGTTCCAGTCGTGGAGCCAATGGGTGGGCCCGTGGCTGGGCTGCCGCTGCTTGCACGGGTTGATCTCCTTCTCCGGCGGCATGTACTCCTCGCTGCGTATGCAGAAGTAGCTCTTGATCGGGCTGCGGCACATCGGGCACCGGTCGAGCTTGCCGAAGCACGAGGCGCAGATGCAGGTGTGCCGGCACGGCAGCAGGGCGCGCGACAGCGGGAAGTACTGGCAGACGACGCAGAGCTGCTCGCCGGCGGTGTTCCAGAGCGAGCCGCCCTCCTGGTCTCCGCTCTGGCCGGACGCCACCAGGGCGCCGCGGCCGCCGGCGCCGGCGCCGCCGCCGGCGATGTCATTGTTGTTGCACGGCTCGGCGAGCGCGAGGGCCGGCGAGCCCAGGCCCGCCGACGACATCGCATCGCTCTCGTCGTAGTTGCTCGAGTTGCCCGTGGCCAGGTACAGTTGCTGCGGGGAAAAAATCGCGTGCGCAAGTTGTCACGGAGGATCGTACGGTCGGTGAGGCGAGGTTTCGAAAGGTGACATCCCGCAACAGCGGTAGAACGTTCCAGCGATGCGACTCGCGATTCCTTACAGCGCAAAAGTCAATGTCACGATTCTGGCAATTATTATACAGCAACGATGCAGCAATATTGCTGGAGCAATATTGCGACGTTGCTGCAATCATTGCTGGAATCGTGACATTGACTTTTGCGCTGTGAGGGATCGCGAGTCGCCTCTCCCGGCGCGTTTCTATCTTCATTTTTTTTTTTAAATATAATTAATGGACGATTTAAGGAATGTAAATCTGAATAGGGATATAAATCTCTCGCGTTCCGACGCTCGGAAGATTCAATACCGATGATTAATGGTCAGATACCGGGATTCACCTTTCGCTGAACGTTTTCAAATTGCACTCACCTTTAAGCAAGACAGTTGCCCGTTCGCCTGCTTCAAGTACTGCGCCAGGATCGAAGTCGGCAACGTGCACACGCTGTCCTTAATGTGAACGACGTTCACCAGAGCCACCTTAAACGGAGATCAATCGGTTGCGGGAGATGATGAATGATGATAAAAGCGAGACGAATTTTTGTTGACTCTTTTACAAAAAAATATATATATATATGCGATATGATAAGAAAATTGCTCACGGTTTCGTCGGGATGTGGATCCCGGTTGTCTCTTCGTGTGAGGAAGATCACCAGGGGGTAGCAGAGCCGCGGCGGGGTGCCGAGCTCGAGTTCCGGGGCCGGTAGCGATAATCTCAGCGTCTCCTCACCGTGCGGCTGTCTACTGCAGAGTTTCGGTCAAGGAGAATGGCAATAGAAAAAAAAATATGCGAGTAAAATAAACGTAAGTAAAAAAAAAAACAACTGTGTAACGAGCGCGAGTCGACCAATCGCCGTCATGCAGTCTTGAGAATCAGAGCTAGGAAAAGACTCTAAAAATAGATTGAGAACGACCGTGATCGAGTTTTGTGACTTTTTCCGCGTCTCGCCGGCCTTAATTGATTTAACGCAAATAACGTGCAATTGCTATAATTTTATCATTAAATTTTTATCATGCGGGAGAGACAAGGTAGAGCTGAGTCAGACGTTCTTCCAGATCGCCACCTGATCGAACCGGTCTGCTTAGATTGCGCGAAAAATTTGCACTTCCTGTTATTTCACGCTTCGCGTAATATGGCGAGGATCACGCGGTGCCGTTAGTCAATTCGGAGTGGCTAATCGAAGGATACGTTTGCGGCGGCGTGAGATACTGCGCGTGCCCCTGTAGAAGGGTCCCGTTCAGGGACGCGTCCCGCAACGTGCTCCACGGCTTCCAGAGCGCCAGATGCAGCTCCCTTATGCTGACACCCCAGATCGCCTGCAGCGAGTACTCCACTTGGCTGGACACCTCGCACTCCACCTCTGAAAACAGACGTTTAGAGTTTCAGCGAGCTCGGAAAACTTGAGTTTGACCTGTTTGAACTTAGGAATCCGAGTCGAGAAATTCGATGACCAACCGCCGTGTTACGTTTTGTTTCGAATATTATCGCCAGTGTCACGGAAAGAAAGATTTTACTGGAAGATCCTGAAATTTAGCTGGCAACAAAGCAACTTTTTGGACCATCGAAATAATAATGCTAGCAACTCAAACTGGTTGCTAAAAATATCAACATTTTTTGCAGCGTTACTCATCAATATCGAGTCTTTAATAAAATTATTTTCACAATCAGATCTGTATCCAGTTAAATTTTAATTTACGATATTTCAGCAAAATTAATTTTTTTTTTCGTGTAGGAATTATAAAGCGTTACAATAATATAGTGGAATTTTTAATGTCTCTCTCTCTCTCTAAATCTCATATCTCATCATAAACATGATACTCGTAACTTCTTTTGCATATGTGTCTTTTTATAGCTTATGCAAATCGCCCCAAAAAATATTCTTTAGCAGTACCCTTTTGATTCTAGAAGATTTTTCTCTGATATTCGGCCTCAAGAAGATACACTAAAATATAGAGGGGAATATTGTATAATATAATTCATAATCATACTCTTAATCATACCAGTTCATGCGTCCACTTTTTACAGCTGAATACATGTTACAGAGAAATACGTTTCATGTAAGATTTTTTCTTAAAGGACAATGCTGAGAATTGCTTATTTATAAGTAGAATATTTTTTTGGGAAGTGATATATGAAATTAATGGGCTCTACAATTTAACGCTAACGTTCCGAACGAAATATTATTTATACAGAGAGCACATCTGTATAATCTCTGTATAAATATTATTTATACAGAAGGTTCACAGCAAAATAGGCTGATGGCGGAGAACAAGACGTAAGAGTTTATGTACGTCTACCGTAGTCGTGGACGTAAAGTATAACGCAGAGAAAAATATAAACGTAAGTCATCGTTGCTGACGTATATTACTAAACGTATACGGTTTTTCATGCCTTACTTTACGTTCACGACGACGTAAGCGCTTACGTCTCGTTCTCTGTCATCAGCCGTACTCTCGGTAAATTGCCTGAGTCTTCCGTAAAACGGTAATCGAATAAAACCTGACCATTTCTCGAGTTTTGGCCTATTTTTTTTATCGAATTTGAATTGGAATTTCGGTTCGTAGAGCAGATGCATATAATATAATTTTCTAGGCCACGATCTCCATAGATCAATTTTTTGATTATAAATCTGAATCAGTGGAAAAGTACTGAAAAATCACTAATTGAGTTAGTACCTATAATCTAACTGTAATTTTACTCATAATCTATAATTAAACATTTAATATTAATTATAATTTCACTGATTACCGCAGTGAACTACTTGACACTGGATGCATTCAATGACCATTGATAATCAGTGACTATATGCACTGATTCAGATTTAGAGAGTAAGAAGTGGTATTTTGAAAACTGTACTTGCAAAACGATACGCTTACGAATTAATTCATAAATCCTCTATATTTGCAGTTTAACACGGATTTAAGCCTGCGTCAGATTACGGCATTGAGGAATTGGAGATGATCAGAATTCGACCGGTCACAGAACGAGACGGATTAAAATTAAAATTATCCGACCGGTCGAATTTCTGAATCTCCAATTCGCAATTCCCGCGATCTCCAACGTGCAACAATCTGATACACGCTTAACAAACGCGTCAAATTGTTTCCTTTACAACCCGAGAATCTTAAGCGGCGGTAATCTCAAGTTTTTATTCGTTTCTCGAGTGTTAAAAATATTATCCTCGCGTCACGCGTTGTTAGAAGAAATTACGTTTCGCAAATAGCAAAAAAAGGAAGAAGAAGAAGAAGAAAAAGAAGACGAGAGAATCATCTGATGATGGACTTTCATTCATCCGTCGCTCGATTGTCAAGCTAAATATGGAAACGCTCGTAATATTACGAGCCCGTGGAGAGGTATAAATGTCAAGATCAACGTAACGATCAACGTAATGTTCTCGAGCTATCGCCGCGATCACGGATACAGTTACGCAGCCCGAGGGGGGCGTAGGGAGGGGAGGGACGACGCGGTGCATTGACCAGCTATCGGGGTCATTTCCTAATGACATTTTTGCCACTATTTTCATCCATCCGTTTGCTTAATCGGTCGATTATCGCCTTAACCCCCGAGGAAAGAATGAGAAAAAGAACCACGAATCTATTATACTTAATTATAGTCGGGCGATCGTTGGGTACGCGAGGATTATATTAGCTCGATCGCCTCTACGCTCGCGCAACAATTCGGCTTCGGATTGTAACGGTATCCACGTGGCGCAATCGCCACCGAGAGATATACGAGGCAAAACAGGCACGCGCGCGCGCGCGCGACCTCAACGAGGCAAAGAGAGAGAGAGGACCGGTATTACTACGACTACGAAATTTGTGTGTAGTCCGGCGTTTTCTTTTTCTCAGCGGCCGACTCGTCGGTCGAGAGAGACGCTCGCCACTTTAAATTGCGCAAAACGTCGGAGGGGGAGATTTTGCAACGCCCGGCAATTCACCCGGGGCTGCAAGAGCCGGCCGGGTACTTCTTTTTCCGCCGCTGCCGCCGCCGGGGAACGCATCGGCGATCGTCGCATCGCGGATGCGATCTTGCGAGCGGCGCTCCCCTTTTCCCCCCTCCCACATCCCACCAATTGCCTAATCAGCCTCTAATGGTAAATCGCAGCCGACCGACACGCCGCGTGACGCGCGAATTACGTGCAATTGGCGTTTTTCAGGAATATGCCTCTTTCGCAGACGTTGACAAATCGCGCGACAGAACGAAGGGTATAGAACAGGGAATGCACGCAGTCTACGGGATAAAAAATGACACAAATATATAAATGTATAATATATCACTCAAAAAAAAAAAAACTGTCCTTTAGCGATAAGATTTTCCTCTAATATTCGACCTCAAGAAAATACTCCAAAATATAAAGAAATATCATATAATTCTTAATTATAATCTTGATCATAGTACATGCTTCCACTTTTTTCCACAGCTGAATATTTATAGAGGAATATATATTCCTAAAAAAATAAAATTTTATTAAAAGCATATGCTTTTTATAAGATTTTTTATAGAGGAAATGTTAAGAAGAATTCCTAACTTACATATAGGATATTTTTTTGGGATGATAATAAATGTATGAATATATAAATATATAATATGTATATGACTAGAAAAAACATGGAATGAGGTACGAATATAAATAAAACCTGCTAGAACGTCGGGAGGCCGGCTGAAAGAAAAAAAAACCGCGAACGTCATGCACGTGGAAACTTACTTGGGCAATTACAAATGATAACGCAAGAGATAACATAATACAATGACATATAATATAATATAAATATGTAATAAGTAGCTTATTTCGTTCGTCATTAACACGTTTTTCTTCACTGGAATTTTACCGATATTTTCAATAAAGTTTTCCGTTCAGGTCGCGTGAGTCACACGGCCTACTTCGAGAGCGATAGTTTTGCCTGTAACATATATCACGTAGCATTTACTGAGGCTACGTGACTACGAATTCGTTATTGAGAAAAGGGTGTGTAATGGTTCCCGGAATTGTGATAATTGCACCACACGAAATATTTGTGCGGCAATATATAATTTTATGAAATATTTAATGATAATGTTACATTTAGCAGGTGGAAATATCGAACGTGACTCGAGCGGAAAGTTCAGCATGCGGCGGCGGCGGCGTGTGCGCCTCAGGTGGCAGGGGAACGTGTTAAAAACGGATAAAAAACGTTCGAGAGAGACGGAGAAGAAATGACGAAATGTGCAGGCTTCCTAATTTCTATAATTTCAACTTTGGGAGATTTAATCTTCCTTAAATTTCTTAGAAAAGGACGAAGGAAAATTGCGCTAGATTTGCCGCGTAATGGCTGTGTGTCGAATAACCTAACGGTAGATTACTTGATGGAGATTAAGCGAGATTTCATTTATTTACTTCTGTACACATTTGATGTCAAACTCTATAAGACATGACTTACGTATTCACGGATTTGCCATTATATAGTAATGTTAAAAACGAGTTTAAACAGCGACGAAAGATCTGCACCCAATAATCTGACAATAGACTATTGGTGCGGCGAAATCAAGCGAGATTTTTACTTATTTATTTTTGTAAACATTTGTTGTCGCCTTATAATATAGTACAATCTAGACGTGACTTGTGTATTTACGTATTTAATGTCAAAACGAGTTTAAATAGCGACGAAAGGTCACTGAATTCCAGAGAAGCGAACTTCCACGCAATCCCAGGCAGCGCGTATTTAAACGAGCGACAAACGTCTCTTTAATTCATATAATTGTGCATATATACGAAATCCGGATGCGTACGTGTGACATTTTCGAGCGTATTTACGAGCGTGCTCGCGTACCTGTGCGCAGGTGTTCTCGTCCTTATTAGCGCTGATCATCGCTGCCGCCGTGGCCGGCATCTCGGCGCGAGAGTTCGACTCGGCGGGCGGCGCGCGGCGACGCGGCGGTATTACGGCGCTGTTATTTCACGGCTGGTTACTAAAAATTATTGCGTAAGACACGCGCTTTCGACTTTTCTCTCTGTCTCTCTTTCTCTCTATCATCGTCACGGTCTCGTTCCGAGAGAGATGTCTTACTGCGTAAGGGAGCCAAGCGGGTTTCCAGGTCGCGTCACACTTCGCCCCGGCTATAGTAGGCTGTGTCGGCGCTCTTCTCTAATCACTCGACGATCCCGCGAGGAAAAATGGGAGAGCGACAGGGAGAGGAAGAGAGGAGAAAGAGGGGGAGGAGAGGGAGAGAGCGCACGACGACGAACCACCGAAACGCCGGAAACGATTGCACCGTCGCGTCGCGTCGCGTCTCGAACGAGAGAGATTAATACCCCTCTCCCCACCCCGATTGAGGCAAGATGAATTGGAGTCTAGGTTGCGGTAGAGCCACCCGCAACCCGGC